CAGGAGGGTTGCTGGCAGAGAGTTGCTCAGGAGCCCATTTTCACTGACAATTTGGGCCACCACAGGTGCCCCCAACACAAATGACCACACCCACCCTGGTCGGACCCACCCCTCCCCCCCAAGGTAAAACACAACCCTGATGTGGCCCTCAATGAAATCGAGTTTGACATGCCTGCTTTATAAGTAACTCAAGGCAGGAAACATACACAATATTTCTTCCTATTTCCCCATAATGACAACCTGTGAAGTGGGTTGGACTGAGAGATTGACTGGCCTAAGGTCATAAGTCGGCTTTCATGGCTTAGGCAGGATAGGAACTCAGTCACCAGGAGATCGGATAATAGTTATCCACCCAGCTTTCATGCCTAAAGGGGGACTAGAATTCACCATTTCCTTGTAATTGGCCCAAAGTTAGCCAGCTGGCTTTCATACTGAAGGTGGGACTCAAATTGACCATGTCCTAGTTTCTCGCCTGATGCCTTAACCCAGGGGTGGGCAAACTACGGCCCGCAGGCCACATCCGGCCCGTTGGTCTGTCCAATCTGGCCCGCCCCTGAAAAAAAATCGCTGGGCGTGGCGTATTGCCCTGCGCTGCGTGGCGCCCAAAGCTGCAAAACAGTGCGGAGCGCTCTCGGGGTAGGAAAGAAAAGAAGAACTTTGCAAAGGCCTCGGCTGGGAGTTCAAAATCACCTTTGAGTGCGACCTCTCCGAAGGTGAGTCCCTGCCGATCCCCCTTTTTTTTCCAGGGCTTCCAGGCTTAAACTTTGCCCGTCTGTCAAATTTTAAAAGTCAATGCGGCCCCCGAGCCAAAAAGTTTGCCCACCCCTGCCTTAACCACTAGACCAAACTAAAGTACCAATCACTCTGTTGACACCCAACCTTTTTTTTTTGTAAAAGTTTTATTTGGATTTTCACAAAACATAATACAAATAAAATATCTTTTTTGAGAGCAGCATGATTCCAGGTTATCACATCTCAGTACAGACTTAATCTCAATTACATATTCATCTTTATATTCTATTTCATACCTTGTCACTATTTTTATCATTTTCACAATATTTTTTCCCTTCCCTTACTTTCCTCAACCTTATTTCTGATTTTCTCATTCCTTTTTAATTCAATTACATATCTTTTTCTTTATTTCTTTATCTTTCTAGTCATTATATTTGTACTTTTGTACTTACAATTTCATACATTCTTTTTTCATCATTGTCCTGAAAAGGAAAAGGAAAAAAAAAATTCCCTCCCCTTCCAGGCATTAAAAAGCAAGGTTTCCCCTGTGATTACCAAATAGAGTGTATCACCTTTATATTTTATAATTGTTATCCATTCAAATCTCATTTAACATTTAATTTATACATTATACAATTATAATGTTCAGTTTCTAATATCTATTTTATATCATATAACTCTTATCAACCAAATTCCGCTTGGTACTTTCCCTTAAAAATACACACTGAATTCTAAAAAAAGAAAAAATATATAACAATAATGAATAAAATGGTTATTCAAATTCATCGTGACAACTGATATTGATTTCATTATAAATCTTTTACATTTCTTTTCAGTGAAATTTTATAAATTGTTAAAAACAATTAAAGTATTTTCATTTCTTCCTCTTATTCCCTCTTCTTCTACTTTTGTTCCCTTTCTCTATTTCATTTAATTATTAACAAACATTCCATTACATAACATGTTTTGTCTTTCACTTTAATCACCTATGTTTCATATTTTCTAACTCGTTACTATTTCCAATATAACAACACTATCTCTTGTACCCTTGCAGAATCTTCTCAATTTATATTTTTAACCATTATCTCTATGTCTTTTAAATAGGCTAATACCTTTAATCCTTGTACGTTTCCCGTTTCTTTATTTCCTGTTTCTGTCCCTTATAACTTCTTCTCCTTTTTATCTTTCCCCTCTTTTTCTCAACACCCATTTTGTCCCCCTGTCTCCCTGATTCTCCCTTCTGCAATCTCCCTCCTGCAATCTTCCTTCTGCAATCTTCCTTCTGCTTCTTCCTAGTATTATATTTACTTTTCAAACTATTCTTTTTTTTTTTCCTCAAATCTTGAGTATTTTACTCCCTTTCCCCACTTTTTCCCATTTTACTCCACATGGAATTGTTTGGTCATTAAAGATAGCTTCTTCTTTGTCCAGCCCTTCTTGTTCTTCAAGCATTTCTTGTTGTTTTCATAGTTCAAAATCTCCATTTCTAAGAATTGAAGTGCGAAGCCAAAGGATCCTCCTCCCTTTTGCAACTCGTTTCATTTGTTTAAGTTCCATTTTTAGTTCCTCGGGGAGTACTGCCATTTTAAGCACTTTTAAACAACCACCCGATTAATTTTAGTTCAGACCACTAGAAATCCAACACCCAAAATTCCAAAAATCACCAAATAATCCAAAACTGTTTTTTCTTGCTTCTTTTTTCCACTTTCCTTTTCCAGGGGCTCTGTTCTTGTAACTAAGTTTCAGTTACAATGTATCCTTTGGAAGTCTTGTTAAAATTCCACTGTTAATTCTAATTTATTTCCAGGAGGTACTCTCTGCTCTTTCCAAGTCCCACCCTTTCTTTTTTCCTCTACTTTCCTCCTTTTGAAGGCTTTAGCATATCCAGAAAGTTTTTATTTTCCCTTTGACACTTTAATTTCAGCTTAAAATTGCCTGTTACTGTCAAAGTAGATTAACACCAATTTCTTGCTTAAATCTCTTCTTTTTAGCATTCAAAGCCAATTGCAGCTGTCGATGTGATACAATTTTTTTTTTCCTTTTCCCTCTCTCCTCCGCCACTTTAAGAATCTTCTTTTAGGAATAACACTCTTTGTAATTTAAATTCCAGGGTACCTTGCATAATGTTATCTCTGCTTAGCCCAGTCTGTCAAGCTCTCCCCTTTGTCTTCCTCCTGCTCAATCTTGTCTGGTCAGGTTCCTCTTTGAGGTGGCCATTTCTGTCTTCGAGAAAGAGAGTAAAGAACTGCCGAGGAGGAGAGATACGGCTCCCCTCAACTCAGCTGATGGTCTCCCCCCTCTTCGCCACCTCTACGGGGTGGCTTCAGCCCCGTATCCAAGGGATCGGGGCACTCCATCGGCGAGCACGGATTGAAACCGTGCACGATCACGGATTTCGGTCCATCACCAAAGAAGCCCAAATCGGAAGTCCGACACCCAACCTTTCTGTGAAAGGTTGCAGTAATTTCAAACTGTCAAATAATCCAGTGTTGTAGCATTTTAATCTACTATGCCTAATAATGTGGGGGTTTGGCATGAGAAAGAGTGTTTCCTTCTGTTTATGGCCTTTGTTCACAACATCTGGTTTGCCATCTTGCAAAGAGAGCTGAACTTCTTAGTAGGTCTTTGGTCTGATCTGAGAAGCTTTGTGCATTTTTATGCTAACAGCCATCTGCTCATTATGACTACAAACAATAATATGTGGGACACCCTATTCCACATTCATTAAAAAAAGGAAAGTGAACTGTATGTGAATGGTAGAAGGAAAATGCTAATATTTATCCCGACTCAACCCATTGCCCCTTGAAAAACTTAGTTTCAGCTTCTCTTAACTGAAGCCAAACTCTAAATAGGACAGAAATAGAAAATTATTAAAAATATGGGAATGATGTAATCAATGTCCTTAGATTGAAATTAATTGGAATCAAATATAATTTTGGTCTTGTCCTTGGCCCTAAGAACACTGGGCTCCTTTTACACTAATCAAATAAATATTTTTGCCCAAAACTGGTTGTGCAACATTCTCAGTTCATTTGTTATGAATAATGCTGAATATTCAACAGTGCTGAAATAGCATAAATTACAATTGGGTTAAAACATTCTGCTGGTAAAACATGTATGCAGCTGATGGTGTTCTGTGAGCTTGCTTCTCTTCCAGCAGGCAGGCTTGTTAACATCAACCCAGAAGGGAGTATAGCAGTGGTGGCTAACCTTTTTGGGCTCCTGTGCCAAAAATTGTGCTCACGCTCATGTGCCAGCACCCAGAAGGCAATGAGCACCTCCCATGCCCCCTGCGCATGCGTGCACAATCCTCCACCCCCACCACCGCCGCCCCCTTAGCTGCACTGCGCCTCCCAGCTGATTTTCGGCCTCCTAGAGGCTTGAGGAAAGGCTCTGCAGGCTTTGCAGGCCAAAAATAGGCCCATGTCATCAGTGACGAAACGGGCCTATTATTTGTCCTGCAAACCCTGGGAGGCATGCACATGCGCAGTGAGGTAATTTTGCCTACGGCTTGCGTGCCATCTGTGGCACGCGTGCCATAGGTTTGCCATCACGGGAGTAGAACATGCGGGATGGTTGCTTGCTTATTTATTTATATCCTGTCTATATTTTTACAAATAACTCAAGATGGCCAACCTACCCAACACACCTTCCTCTTTCTGTTTTTTCCACAACAACCCTGTGAGGTGGTTTAGGCTGAGAGTAACTGGCCCAAGATCATCCAATTGGCTTTCATGGCTAAGACGGCACTAGAAGTCCCGGTCTCCCACTTTCTAGCCTGGCACTTTAACCATTAGACCAAACTGGCTCTCAATATATGCTCTGTCTAATAAGCCATTCAATAAAGAAGGTAACCAAAGGTCAAGGAAAGCAGAAAAATAGGTCTAAACAATATCTATTCTCCGCACACACATCTATTAACCAACGCAGAGAAGCAGGAATTATCTCCAGATAAGCAAGAGCAATCACAGAAGAAACAATGCCATGCCCAAAAATCAATTAGAAAGAAACAATACTCCAATAAAGCTAGTAAGACAAACTATATAAATTCACTCCTACCTTCACTGGTGATGTTTCCTAGTCTTGTGATGAAACATCTTCAGGAAGATTAGCAAGCTTAGAAAGCAACAAGACAAATATTCTGAAGATCGTGAAGCCAACATTAGAGATGTTTTGGTAATGGGGGAAACACTATTTTACAGGCACAGTTTGGCTCTCCAAGATGAGTAGCACCCTGGTCATTCTTCTTTTCTTCTCTCATTTCACAGCCCGCTCTTCGTAACGTGGAAGATTGGTCGAGATAAAAGGTTGCGTGGATGTATAGGTACCTTTTCTGCCATGAACCTGCATTCAGGACTCAGGGAGTACACACTTACTAGGTAAGACTTTGTTGATGTTCTCTTCACTTTGAAGAGGGTTGTAATTTATTATCATTTATATTGTGAAATTGGCCCACTGAATTTTTGAGCTTCTGCTCCCCACTAAGATTTTTCCAAGCATTGGAGAATCTTGTTATCTAGGTTTGTTTGCTTAGTCCAAAATGCTGAAGTAGCCTGTGACTTGAGCATTTCCCAATTTATAATGTATCTTTGCCCAAAGCAGACAACTTCAGTTCTTTTTTTTTTTGGAAGACAAGAGGAAGAAAGGTAAAGTCTGCGGGGGGGGGGGGAAACAGTCCAGCAATCCAAAATGGCTGGCATTATCTCCATTTCTCCAGCAAGGACTTCCTGCCAGCTACATTTCATTTAATTTTTCTCATTCTTATTCCTCATTGTTCTTTTGTTACATTCTTGCTCTTGAGCGGAAACCTGTTGAATTAGGGAAGTAAGTAGTAAGAACTCCTCGTGATCCAGACTACATCTAAGCTAGTTCATTTTTGTGGTCTTTTAGTTGCCTTTCTTGGTGTAGTGTTTATCAACACATCAAAAGGTAGCATTTGGAGCTGGTGGTGTACTTTGGAGGTTGGAGGAGAATTTGATTGGGGTGGTGTCTTCTTTGATTAGCGCACTAGACTGAAGATGGTTAATAATTCATCCAAATCCTCATAGGGGAATCCCAAGGACTAGAAGTGTACAGGTAGTCCTTGACTTACAGCCATTTGTTTAGCAACCATTCAAAGTTACAACAGCACTGAAAAAAATCACCTATGACCATTTTTCACACTTTTAAGACCGTTGCTGGGTCCCCACAGAGGAGGTTGAACTGCAAAATTTCCTATTATCCAAGTCAAGATGGGTTTGGCCTTTGGGGACATCTGGCCGGACAGACTTACTCTATGCTCTAAAAACTAAAACAGATCCACTTGGTGCTTCCAAGTTCTATATAGCATACTATAGGCCTGTTCTCATTCCTATCCTGAATCTCCCCACTTCCTTTTTATTTTGTTTCCCAACTGGCATCTCAGTATGCTATGTAGAACTTGGAAGCACCTGGGTCCTTGCCAGATCGTTCAATCAATTTTTATTATACTTCCAGACCAGCAAACATGCCAGGTCATTTTTGAATAATTCCTTGCAGTTTTCTTTCAAATGTAGAAATCACATTTTTCTGTACCCAGGAGCCACCTGGGCATTAGAAACTATGCCCTTATTTTAGAGTGTTTTGTTTCTGAACCAAGTACAAAGTCTGGTGGTCAGATGCCTGTTGAGCAGTGATGAGGTTCGGACTGCTGCAGGCCAAGCCTTTTGTGACACTTTTCTATGTATGAGCCATGCTTGAAAAGTGCGTCCTTCTGCCTAGCTTGTGAATCATGGGCTGTAAGTTTTAACGGCACCTTGATTAAATTGGCTGGCTCGGTGGGAATATAGAAAGAGAACGTTTTGAAATGAAAGGTGGAATGAAAGAATTGCTCTGGCTGAGCTCGGGTGCCTCCCCTTCTCGGGCTAAATTAATTCTTTGAATGGGAACATTAGGAGTTCTGCTCAAGCAAGCTAAAAAGATCTTTTTCCTTTGAGCTCTGAAGACAAAGTACGAAGCCAGGAAGACATTCCAATAAATTGTTATCCGGTACTCGAAAATACGGTTTTCATTCTTGAAAGTATCTGTGGAGATTCTCAGTCATTCAGGTCATGGTTGTCCCAAAGGTGTTTTTTTCCATAGGCAACTGGACGTTCTTGGTTTTCTTTGAAGACATTTCGTTTCTCATTCAAGAAGATTCTTCAACTCAGAATTTGAAAAAGCTCCTTTGAGGCATTCTGGAAAGTACTTAATAGATCTAGAAGAGGGGTCCCCAACCCCTGGTCTGTGGACCAACACCTGTCCACGGCATGCCAGAAACCGCCCCGCACCAACAAGCGAAGACCATCCATGGGATGCAGGCAGCACACAAAAACACACCTCCTCCGGTCCATGGAAACACCTCTCTTCTTGGAACCGGTCCCTGGTGCCCAAAAGGTTGGGGACCGCTGATCTAGAATATATAGGTCTAAAATTGACTCCTTGGAGTAAAAAATACTTTATGTTTCCAGTAATAGGGGCTTTATTGGATTTATTGTTAATACCTCTTACTCTTGGTAATAATTTTAGCCATGATAAGTAGGCACTCTGCTGCCAGCAGCAATCACAAGAAAAATACATGTTCATATGTCGCATTATTTTATTGTTTTGTTTTATTATCATTTTTGCTTTGGACTCATAAAAAGAATACAGATTATCCTTGACTTACAATCACAATTGAGCCCAAAATTTCCATTGTTAAGAAAGCAAGGCAGTTTGTTAAAAAAATAATTGCTCCATTGTATGATTTTTTTGCCACAGTTGTTAAACAAATCACTGCAGTTATTCAGTGAGTTACACAGTCATTAAGCAAATTTATCTTCCCCATTGACTTTGCTGGTCAGAAGCCAGCTGGGAAGGTTGCAGATGCTGATCACATGAACCCAGGACAGAAAACCAACATAAATACATGCCAGTTGTCAAAACCCAAATGCTGATCACATGACTGTGGTGATGCAATTATCGTAAGTGTGAAAAATGGTCATAAGTCACCTTTTCAGTGCCCTTGTAACTTTGAATGGTCACTAAATGAATGGTTGTAAGTTGAGGACTACCTGTACATATTTGGTGTTTTTTCCTCATTCTACATTCTGGAGTGAGGTTAGGAATGCAACCCAACCAAGATGAGAGCAGTTATCACCAAGGGAAAGTAGTAATACTTGAAATCCACTGCATTGTTTTGCTCAAGCTGGGGCTGCATCCACATGTAATGGTAAGCTAGAATTTAGAATTGCATGAGTAAGAAGAAACCCATGCAAAGCCTTTATATGAGTGAGTGATGGTTGTTTTAAAAAGCTCTGCAGACTTCACGAAAAAATCCAAACAATTTGCTTGCAGATGAGTTTTTTTAAAATATAATTCCAGATATACACACAAGTTTGAACCAGAATCTGCTGTTTTGACAATAAATTTAGGTTTGTTCCCTCTTTGACTCTCATTGGTAATTTTCTTCTCATTCATATAACTAAATTACTTGCAATTTTGTGCAAACTCATTTATGTTGATAGGTTGGTTTTCAGATGTGAAATTTTATTTTATTTTTTTAAAGTTTTTAACTCTGGGATGCTACATTAATAGAAAGTATTAGAGATAACCTTTCCCTTTTTCCAATAATGTAAAGAATGGTACTATTTTAAATAAACATAAAATATCTCTGATCCACCATTGAGATCTTTTGACTATTATGTTCATGTTTCATGTGTATTCAGGGAAAGTAATAAGAATGGGCCGATGACATTTTGTTTAGGTGCAAACACTTCCAGATCAGTGTAAAAATGCTTGTAATTGCTTTAAATGTAGGTGTTAAAGAACAAGCAAATAATAATTTCCCTTCAGTTATTATGGACAATTCTTGGTTAATTTGTTTATTTAACACCTGTCATTTCCCCCCTCCTTTGGGGAATAAGGAACCAGGATGGATTTCTGCCCTGACAAGCGGGAAGTAGCTTCACTTAATTTGCTGTGGAACCTTTAATTTTTTTTTTTAGGCGACCATAGTAAATTAATGCCAAGAACACTTCTTGTGAAGCAAATTGATGTTCTGCCATAATTGTCCAGTGATTTATGAATTTAAGGAGCAAGAGCCTCAGAAGAAAACTCCTCCCCTCTTGCTAATGAGATCACACACTGGTCCACTTTGTCAAGTAGAACCGTGATTTGTGGCCAGTATGTGTTACCTTGAGAGGCTTTCATCACCTCAAATGTGGAGCTGGGTCAATTGAGAAGCTGCATTCATACTAACTTCCACTACTGTGAAGTGTTGCTTAACCTGAATTCCCATTACAGGTAGACCTTGACTTACAATCGTTGGTTTAGTGCCCGTTTGAAGTTACAACAGCACTGAAAAAGTAAGCATAGTTTCCCCAAGTTTTACAGTTCACCTTCTCACCTCCAGCACTCTTCTCCCCCTCCCCACATAGCCCAATTAATCTTCTCTCCCCCCGTTTCTATGGCAGCCGGAAAGACAAGCAGAAGGATTCTTGAAGGCTGACATTTGGCCCTCCTGCAAAAAAGGCATTATCCCTAGAAAAGAAGAAAGAATAAAACAATAGGAAAATCAACATTCCAAAAACAATATAAAATATTACAAAAAAGTTAAGGTTTGTCAGGGTATTTCGAACAAAATGTTTGTATAAGCCTAGGGACATCTTGTTCATGCACCCATTACAACTGAGAAGGAGGGAAATGCTTCCAAACCACCAAATATTGGAGTTTTCCTCTCTGTTTCCTCGAATCCAGAATTTCTTTAATCTCAAAATGTTGCTCGCCTTCAATTAAAAGAGGAAATGGAGGGGCGGTCTGGTCAGGCCGTAAATTGGATGTATGTTCAGGTTTTAACAAACTGACATGAAAGACAGGGTGAATCCGTCTAAGTGTCTTTGGCAGTTGTAATTGTACTGCCACAGGATTCACAATTCATACAATTGGGAAAGGTCCCACATATTTGGGTCCCAATTTTTTAGTTTTCTGTGTGGTTTGTACTTAGTGGACAGGAAGACTTTGTCCTGCATTGGGTATGGTTTTTGTGGAACTCGCTTTCTATCTGCTTGCTTTTTATGAGCAGGAGTTGGGTTATCCACTCGGTCAATGATGGAACATTGGGTTTCTCTTGTGGAAGCTCTGGTATAGGTACAAAGTCCTGACCCATAGCTACCTTGAATGGGGTGAACCCAGTGCTACTGTGAGCAGAGTTATTGTACGCCACCTCTGCAAAAGGCAATAGGTCAGACCAATCATCCTGTTGATAATTGATGTAACATCTGAGGTATTGTTCCAATACCAAGTTAGTTCTCTCACAGGCCCCGTTGGTTTGTGTGTGGTGGGCGGGGCTTAAGCCCTGGGCGGAGCAATAACTTCAGGAATTCTTTCCAGAAATTTGACGTAA